GGCACCTCATGATTGGTCCAAAAGCAACCAATCACAGCCCACCATTTACAACCAATCACAGTCCACCGTTTACAACCAATCATGGTCCACCATTTACAACCAATCATAGTCCACCGTTTACAACCAATCATGGTCCACCATTTACAACCAATCACGGCCCACCGTTTACAACCCACCAGAGTGTATATAACCACGATGCCTGGCCCACAGTAGCCAGACGACACAGACGACCGAGACGACGACGACGACCAGGAAGACGACAACTGAAGAGCCTGAAGAGCTGAAACACCGCACAGTCTCCAGACGACCCTGAAGATCCTGAAGAGCTGACACTGCATCGTCTCCAGATGACCTGGGAGACCCTGAAGAATTGTAACACTACATCGTCTCCGGACGACCCTGAAGAGTTGTGATACCACGTCGTCTCCATGCTGCTCACAGTAGACGACGTGACCCTTAAGGGCTGTGACACTGCGTCGTCTCTGTGCTGTACCGTGCTGCCCACAATAAACAGACGACACTGTCGTCTCCGTGCTGTAACACTACGCTGCTTGCCCTGGCTCTCACTCCTTCACTCAAGAAACCCGTTCGGCTGTCCCCCCGGGTCAGGACACCTGTATGCATGTATGCATGTATACACACACTGTGTCCATGTATATATATATGTGTATACACGCACATATACATACTGTGTGTATGCACACATTTATGTATGTACGTATATACACTGCATGTATGCACACGTGCATATATACTGTACATACATACACACATACACACTGTGTATGTATGCATGCCTATATAGTATATATGTATACATGCACATATACATTCTCTGAGTATATATGTACACATGTATAAATACCTACTATGTATGCATGTACATGAATGTGTATATATACATGGTGTGTATGTGTGTATATGTATGTACATATGGGTAGATACATATTGTGTGTGTGTGTGGCTTACAAAGATGGAGAAAGAAAACCAAGTAGCTGCATCTTGTGATCATTGCTGTGAAGCAGAACTGTTTGCTCACTTGCGAAGGCAAGTGGGATGTGACTTGTTCATGAACAGCCGAGTCATGCTGCACGTGGAGGAGAGGGGGCACGGCTGAGTCATGCTGCACGTGGAGGAGAGGGGCACAGCAGAGTCATGCTGCACGTGGAGGAGAGGGGCACAGCTGAGTCATGCTGCATGTGGAGGAGAGGGGCACAGCCGAGTCATGCTGCACGTGGAGAGGGGGCACAGCCGAGTCATGCTGCATGTGGAGGAGAGGGGCACAGCCGAGTCATGCTGCACGTGGAGGAGAGGGGGCACAGCCGAGTCATTCTGCACGTGGAGGAGAGGGGGCACAGCCGAGTCATTCTGCACGTGGAGAGGGGGCACAGTGCACGTGGAGAGAGGGCACAGCTGAGTCATGCTGCACGTGGAGGAGAGGGGGCACAGCCGAGTCATGCTGCACGTGGAGGAGAGGGGCACAGCCGAGTCATTCTGCACGTGGAGAGAGGGCACAGCTGAGTCATGCTGCATGTGGAGGAGAGGGGGCACAGCCGAGTCATGCTGCACGTGGAGGAGAGGGGGCACAGCTGAGTCATGCTGCATGTGGAGGAGAGGGGGCACAGCTGAGTCATGCTGCATGTGGAGGAGAGGGGGCACAGCCGAGTCATGCTGCACGTGGGGAGGGGGGGCACAGCCGAGTCATGCTGCACGTGGAGAGAGGGCACAGCTGAGTCATGCTGCATGTGGAGGAGAGGGGGCACAGCCGAGTCATGCTGCACGTGGAGGAGAGGGGGCACAGCTGAGTCATGCTGCATGTGGAGGAGAGGGGGCACTGTGAGCTCGCGGCTGGGTACATGTGACAGGGACAAGGTGCAGAAGAGCAGCCAATGAGGCGTAGGGAGGGGAGGGGGCGTGGCTGCTGAGTCAGGGCAGACAGTCCTGCTGGCCAGGAAGGTGAGGGTGAGCGCTGTCTGAGTCCCAGTGTCCGAGCTCTTTCTGGTTTTGTTGAGAGGAGGAGGAAGGAGCTGCTCTTGCTGGTGCCTCTGAATAGTCGCTTTGGGTCAGCGAGCCCTCAAGGTTCTTGGGAACGTGCGAAGTCCACCTTGGTGGCCACCCTGGGCTGTGGCTGCTCTTCATCTACTTGGGATTTCTGGGAAGTTTCTTGTATTATATGATGAATGTCTTCAAAGCTTAACAGTGATTAGCATTGGGAGAATGCTGTACGAACCTTGCAGGGACAAGTGAGACGGAGAGGCGGAAAGGGAGAAATCACCCCCCAGGGGATGGCCACACTGCATTCCCTTCTCCTCCAGTCTCCTCTTGGGGTTTTGGGCACACACATATATGCCTGGAGTGACTTTCAAGCCAATGTGTCCAGTACTTGAACCACGGTCAACCATGTGAGAGTTCAGAGCCTTTACCAATATGCCACCTGCCCAACCTAATCATAATTTTAATTATAAATGCCACCTTTGGCTTTTTGTCTGTCATTAAGCCTTAAAATGGGAAATGACAAGACCCTATTGTTTGATTCAAAGGGGATGAATATGGAAGACTTGATGTTGAGCGAAGTGAGCCAGACTTTGAAAGACACACATTGTAGATCCCCACTCACTGTGTACAGACTGTCTGCACTCTGATATCTCTGATCTCTCAGGAATGGAGAGACCCGAGTGAATGAGAGCAGAGAGGATACAAGAGCCTGTCAGGGAGGGGAGTGCGTGGCAGGGAGGCAGTGGTAGAGGTGGGTGGCAGGGGAAAAGGGAAGGAACGTTTAACTGAAAAGAAAGCAACATTTAAAAAAACACCTGTATTTTTTGCTTTGTTAAAAACAACTGTGCAGCCAGTGGCGTGGTTGAGGTGGCTGGATCTCACACGGCTGACTGTGCGGTTGGAATACCAGACCTGGTGGCTTGAAAAACACCCAGGCGCATGTGCATATGTGCCCAAATTCTGGAAGGAGAGGGAAGTGGAGAAGAGCTTGTGGCGTGGCTTCCCCTGGGGTGCCTTCTCACTTCCGCTTTATCTCTCTGTGTGTCTCTCTCTCTTTCTGGTGAGTGCATGCTCCCTCTGGAAAATTAAAAAAAAAATGAACCTTCAAGAAAAAAAGTGTCTTTTTGCAGATGAATTCGTCCTGTGCACGTGGCATCCCTTCCCCTGTTTTGATGGTGGGCTTCCCTCGGTGTGTCTCGAGGTGAAGCTTGGCGGTACCTGCAGTCGGTTGGGACATGTCCCTTCTGGCCTTCTGACTCGCGGTGTCAGGGTGGGACAGAGTCCTCCGGGCATTTCCAGCATGGGGTGCTGCACTGCGCTCTCGAAGCACGAGCACAACTCCTGAGCAGGCCTCTCGCCTCTTGCACAGCACCTGTCCTACGGCGAGGGCAGCCTGCATGTGGACGCCGCCTTCCAGCAGACCCTCTGGAGCGTGGCTCCCATCAGCTCAGGGAGTGAAGCAGCCCAAGGTAAGACCCACTCCCAGGATCAGCTCGTCTGGCACAGAGCGGGGCTGTCTGAAGGAGCTGAATGTAATAGAGAGATTTGTGTCAAAACGTCCTGACCTGAGGACCTCCTCTGAGTCCCACTGGGATGCACAGCTTCCCTTCCGCTCATGCTGTCTCCAGCCTTCGTCCTAGTGTCAGGTTAGCTTTTGGGTCGTTTCCTCCCACCCGGCGGGCGGGCGTCTTGGTTAGGCTAATGGTGGGTCCGTCTGTCTGGGCCACGCCTCATGGTCATCTCCACGTACGCAGCAGGGTAAGCATCTGGGCACGTCCTGCCTATTCTCACAAAGAAAGGGGATCTGACGAGGATTGTGTGGGTTGAGGTCATGTGCCCTCGTGGGAATGTCACTGGCTGTGGGATGCAGAGGGGGTGGCCAGCCCCTCCACCTCGGGGGTCCTGACAGGTGCTGAAAGTGAAGGCAAGCCCAGACGACCTGTCTGGCGGTCACCGTCTGGCAGGACGTCTCGTGACTGGCGCTCACCCTGCAGGGTACCTGATCGGTGGCGACGTCCTCAGGCTGCTGCACGGGCACATGGATGAGTGCCTCACCGTCCCCTCCGGAGAGCACACCGGGGAGCAGCGCAGGTGGGTGCTGCGCCGGGGCTTCCAGCCTGGGCCTGCTGGCTACGACGTCTGCTCAGCAGGAGCGTGGCCACCTGTGGCCAGGGACGGTTACCTGCCTGGTAGGGCTGCTCCTTGGTGCCGTGGGAGACTCCCAAGGTGTCCTGCCTCCTTTTTTATTTTTCCTTTGGAGAAGTTTTTGCTATAGGGCGCGTGTGCTTGCCAGACAGAGAGAGACAGAGAGACAGAAAGTGAGAAATCACTCCCCCCGGGGGGTATGGCCATGCCGCAATCCCTTCTCCTCCATTCTCCTCTCAGGATCTTGGGCACGCATGCACACGCGCCTGGGGTGAGTGTTAAGCCACCGGGTCCGGGACTTGAACCGTGGTTGACTACGTGGGAGTCTAGCAACATAGCCATTGCGCTACATTTAATAGAAGCTAACTTCGTTCAGTGGGACGTGTCGAGATGAGTGACAAAGGGGATAGCATGAGTGGCGAGGGCTCTCCAAAGGCCATGGGTGGAGCAGCTCCTCTGAGAAGAAGGGTGAGTGAGCGCCAGGGGTCGGCCCTGAATGGAGGAGCACTGTCCCCCTGAGTGAGGACTGAGGGAAGGCGGGGTATAGACGCTGGCTGTTGGGGGCCCTCCGGGAGGAAGTGGAGGAGCAGGATGGTGGCCAGTGATGGGCGAGGAGCTGGGCTTGGTGGTGGGGGGAGCCTGAGCTGGAAGCCGGGCTGAGGGCTGAGGGCCGGGGGCCGGGGGCCAGGTGGCGTCTGGGTGAAGTGGAGGCCATGGGCATGCTCCACTGGACGTCGGAGTCGACTGCGGCACTGGGGTCTGCAGGGGAGGTGCGCGTGGAGTGGGGACAGAGCCCAGCTCCGGGCACAGGCGCGTACGGAGGGAATGTACCCTCGGTGGGAAACTGGATTTCTGGGTTTGTGCCTCTGTTCGGCCACACGGTGGGAATGAGGAAGGACTGGGCGTGTCCTCGGAGATTCCTTAGCTGTGCGGCGCTCGGGGCTCTGTCGTCGTGGTAACACGAAGGCCATCCTGCCCCAGACACCCCTAGCCCTCGGCCCAAAACTGCATACCGAGGAGAAACGCCTGCGACGACCTGAAACTGTATTTTGATTCACTAGAAAAAGACGTAGAAGCAATCCAATGGTTGGTTAGCGGTCTTAGAGCTGGAGAAGGTCCAGCGATACTGAGGTTCTCTCCTACCTCCGAGCTGTCTGCCGGGATTGCACCTGTCATACTGCCCGGGGAAATGTGGCCATCACACCCACTCCCTTGTCAGACGTGGTAGGATGATTGAGGGCCCAGGGAGGTTGTGTCCACTTCGTTCCTGAGTGCTTGTCCTCACCAGGCCACGGCCACCCACTCGGAGTCCCCGTGAGCATCATGCAGCTGGGGACGTGTCTGGGGGCTGTGGCTCTGGACACAGGGGGCGTCCTCACCCCCACTGCCCATGCTGCCGCAGAGCGTCAGGGGCTCCTGGAATGGAGCGTACAGAGCGCGTGTCAGGGAGCAGAGCTCGGCGGGCCAAGGCAGACCTCAGACTTGAGCTAATGCACCTCCTCCATCCTCTCCCATTCCTCTGTGGATGGGGCTTGGCACGCATGTGAGACTCACCGTCACTGCTGTGTTAAGTTTCCTGAGGTTTTTCCAGGAAGGCATCTGGCCTGGAAGTACCCACACAACCCAAGATGTGGGCACAGGGCCTGCTGTGGGCAGGAGCAGTCAGGGAGGGAGCCCCCCCGGGCCCTTGGATGTTAGGTCTCCATTGTTAGCTCCTGCCATTCCCTGCGAAGAGGAGGCCGAGAAGGCTGGAGAGAGACAGCTGCAGGTAGTTGGCAAAGAGGCCGGCAGGTGCAGGACTGCTTTAGAAGTACCATTCAGGGACCAGCAGATGGCGTAGTGGTTACGTCGCTGGACTCCTACGTAGATAACTGTGGTTCATCCTGGACCTGGTGGCTTTAAAACTGATGCAAGGCCCGTGTGGTGTGCGCCCAAGATCCCAAGAGGAAAATGGAGAAGGGACTGTAGTGTGGCCATCCCCCTGGGTGTGAGTTCTCGCTTTCTGCCTCTGTCTCTCTCACACGCATCTATAGCAAAAATCTCTCTTAAAAAAGAAAAACGTACAATTCCAGCCCAAGGGCTTGAAACTCTATGGCCACATTCTACTTCAAGTGTGAAATGCTGGATAGGGCGCTATGCTCAGAGAGTTTCGTGTGTGGCTTGCATCTCATTACTTCTATCCATGATTTTATGTGAATAAAATAGCAACAGGCATTTTCTTCATGCAAATGGATACTTTTTTATGAGTTAGCTATGTACTGTCTGAGTTAAGCATGCCAGTTTTTTATTTTGCTAGATTTAAAACTGGTTAAATTGGGGCTACATTATTTGGGGTGTGTGCCTTAGAAAGCAGCCCCAGGAGCGTTCATGCAGCATCGTTTGTGTGTGTGCACGGGTCACCAGCCAGCTTGCCTGTGGTCTGGCTTGCGAATGAACATGGGCTAGGATCTCGTGCCAGAAGAGATGCAGTGTGTTCTCGGGGTCTGTCCTAGCGGGCACATGCAGTCAGGGGACAATGCCAGCCCAGCTATGGTGGCCCTGTCCGGAGGGTGCTGTGTGCAGTGGATGAGGCCTCCTGGGGGCAGGTGGCTAGGAACCCACACAGGGTGCATGCATGTGTGTGCCGTCAGTCCTGACAGCACAGAGAAGTGGAGGAGGAGGAGCCAAGGCATGGCCACGTGCCCGTTTCCGAGTCCTGTCTCTGGCACGTGCACACGCCCTGGCCATCAGGAAGGCCTGTCTCTCGGGCCAGGGAGAGTCACAGTGCTTCGCGCCTGGGTCACACAGGAAAGGGCTCGTGTTTGTCCTCGGCTGTCCCGAGCATGCGGGGAAGCGCGTGTGCCTGTGACCCAGGCTGCTGCGACCGTGTGCATCCTGGCATGAAGCTGACACTGTCTCTCAGAAGAGATAAACGAACAAACTTAAAAAAAGAAAAACAAACAACAACAACAACAAACAACCCTCTCTCACATAAAACAAAATGTAAATCTGCTTATTTTTCCATACACACGAGCACCCGCCATGCCAAGAAACGAAGGAGGCGGTGATCGGGGCTGTGAGGGAACTAGGGCAGGGCGGCGGCAGTTCCTGTGCGCTGGTGCATGTGCGCGCATGCTCGTGTGCGATGGCGTGGTTCTGCTCTCTCCCCTCAGATGTGGCGCAGTTAAGTGGCAGTTTTCGACAGTGTCTAGAAGCGAGTGCAGCGTCTGCTCCAGGATGGGCCTCGGCAGGGAGCAGCCCTGCTATGCGTGTGCATGGCCGTGTTCTTTCCTTCTGCTCCTTTGCTATGCTGAAGCTCAAATGACGCTAGTGGTAGGTAACTGACTGGCCCAGTGTGGCCCGAGATGCCTGGCTCACCCGTGCACGCCCTGGACCCCGGCATCTCTGTGAGGCAGCCGTGTCGGTCACTGTCTGGGACGCTGGCATCTCTGTGTGGCGTGCCCTCTCAGTCACCTTCTGGGTAGTGCGCCGCGTCGGTCGCCGTCTGGGAGGGGCTCGAGAGCAGCTCTGTTGTGCTCCAGAAGGGTCACAGATAAGGGCAGTTTTCTACGGCCTCATTCTCCCCCTCTTGGTGTCCTGTGGGCACCGCTGCAGGCCCAGCCAGGGAGTGACGCGTGTGCTGCATGGCCTGACGGGAGGGTCTGTCCGTGAAGGAGGGCTCTCTCCTGTCCTTTGGGCCTCCTCCTTGCCGAGACTCACTTCCTGGAATGTGAATGCCCGCCTGGCTGCAGAGAGCTCAGATCCCTGGCCTGGCCCAGAGCCACCCGTGAGGAAAGCCAGGCCAGGCCTTCTTTCAAAACACAGGCTTTTAAGGTGAAGGGTGAACTGCTCAGGAATTTGGGCATTGGATTTCTGGGGGCGTGGGGACAGTGCAGGCACCTGCTGTGCTGTAGTGAGCGGGCGTGACAGGACCACGGGTTCAAGGCCAGCCTGATTTAACAGAAACTGCCCTGTAGTTTGTCAGTTAAAATTTGAGACTGATTTTCATGCCCATGTTTGGTTTATTATCTTAATCTAGATGTAAGCAGTATCTTCCAGAAGGACAAAAGAATCTGGGTGCCTTAATACGTATCCAAAGAAGTGCCCTTTTCTGGGACATTTTTGTTGATACTTATCATTTGGTACACATTGCAGATTGTTACATTAAAATATTAAGAATTAGCATTCTTACATTTCTTTAGACTGTTTTAAATTCCTAGAACAGGATTTAGAATTGCGAAGAGTCATGTGTGTGTTGGACCCACACTGGGCCGGTCAGTTATTTACCGCTAATTCTGTGGACCTGGTTAGAGAGTACAGTGTCATCCATGTCCTGGGGTGGGGGCAGAGCGAAGGAGAGAGGACCAGTGGAGAAAATAGTGATGAGAGAACATGAAAGACTTTACAAAGTTATCAGTAAGTGACGTTTCAGTATGAGTTCAATTTTGGAGTCTGTTTCATGGAAAACAGTTTCCATGAGCTTTCCATGAGCTTTCCGGTGACTCTGACGTTAAATCAGCTCGTTCAGGGCAGCTGAAGCCAGCCAGTCACTGCTGTCTTGGTTATTTGTTTCCTTTTTATACCCAGCCATATTGTCTCTTGCCAGAAATCGGACTAGCACTGTTTATCCACTTGCTTTTCTTATTTAGTGAGCTTGAAAAATAAGAGTCCAAATGACGGAAGTGCTAACTCAGAACTGGGCTTTTCTTTGTTGGAGCAGAACTGTCCACTATGAAGGCGGAGCTGTGTCGGCGCACGCGCGTTCCCTGTGGAGACTTGAGACGCTCCGAGTCGCGTAAGTAGAGCCCGTAGAAGCAGCCGTCCCAGTGCCCTGAACCCCAGCGCACTGAGCCTGCGTGACACGTGTACTGCATGGTCTGACGGGAGGGTCTGCCGTATCAGGTGTGCAGGCGCGTGGGGACTGGACAGGCAGAGTAGGCCTCTTACCGTCCTCGGCCCTCCCCTCCTCCTCCCCCTGCCTCCTTTACCTGGCCGTCTGCCCGAGAACCAGGCAGCACCTCCTGCAGACACACTGTCCTGCAGCCTCGTGTGTTTCTGCAGCATCATCTTGTCCCAGACCATGTGCCTCTTGGCAGCAAGTGCTGCCAGGACAGAGTGACGCAAGGTTTGCAGGTAGGACAGGCTGTGTGCCAGCCCGACGGTGTTTCCGATGTGACATCTGGGTTTCACCTCCCAAGGACACATTTCCGGCAGAGGAAACCGGAGTGTGAAGGGGAGGATGGGAGTGAGGGCTGCAGTCGCCGTCTTCTCTTTGAATAGCGCATGAGCTGGGTGGGCCCTGGGAGCTCAGTAAAAGTCGCTATGTGTCATTGCGGTAACAAGGGTTTACATTAGGACCACACTTTTTTTCCTATTGTGTTTCCGGCGAGTTCAGAAACCTCTCTGTAGAGTGCCCTTTGGTTCCTTTAAATGCAGTATCAACGACACAGCTGCCATTCTGAGTATTTTTAAATAGGTTGAAAATGTCAGATTAAAAAAAAATAGTTCAAAGATTCAGTCTGTTACCTAAACACAGAGCATTTTCAGCGTATTCCTTCCCCATGACATCAACTTCGAGACCTCCGGCTTAGGACTGTGGGGTCCTGATGGCTGCTGGAGAGCTGTGGACCTTCCGTGAGGGAAGTCAGTGCTTCTGGGGGTGACGGGAGGGTTTGGCGGTCTCACGTGTCCTGTGAGCATTTAAAAAATTGCACACCCTTGAACAAGAATGTGAGGCTGACATAGAAATGGTGTCATCCTCAGTTTAAGTAGGTGTGTGGAATGGAACATCAGTGTAGTTTTTAAAGAATTATTTATTAGTATTTAAAAAAATTGCTATAGGGCACGTGTGCTCACCAGAGGCAGATAGAGAGAGAGAGAGACAAAGAGAGAGAGAACTGCCAGATCTGGAAGTTGAACAGCAGTCAGCCCTGTGGGAGTCCAGTGCCTTAACCACCACGCCACCTGCAGACCCCCTCCAGTGTATTTTAAGTAGTGGTGTTTCCCAATAAAATGGTCACTCAGTCTTTTTATAGTGTTTGGTTGACTGTAAATACTGTGATTCATTACCCCGTTGTTTACTTGAATATGACCTTTCCCGACAGCAAAGACCTGTGTTGTCCCCCTTTCTCATTAAGTCCCACTTCCACTGCTCTCCCAGGACAGAACTGTCTACCCCGAGGTAACACACTTTCACGGCTGAAAACTCCCAGCTTACTTTACCGTGTTCCTGTGCAGCGAGGGTATTTATACGCATTACATGTGTTTGTCAGTCTGTGACTTTAAAGAGTTATTCTGTATTAAAACCCTTAATTAATTGATAATACAAATTTATTTTATAAAAATACACAGTTGATCAAATCCACCTATATAATAAAACTTTTTATAAATACTAAACTTAAAAGTAAAATTTTATTGGAAATGCACCCCTTAATGAAATGGGAAAGAGACAGATAATAAGGTAAGCGGGGAAGCCCAGCTTCTCTAGGCTCTATGATCATTCCGATGACTTAGGAAAGGACTTTAAGTGTACACCCGCGTCTCCTTTACACGTGTGATGAGACGACAGATGAGGTACAGAGATGACACGTTAATTGCAAACATGGTTGCATATTGCACATGTGGGTCCCCCGTGAATTGCAGACACAGTCGATCACACGTATGTGAGTGCGCACTGGCGATCGCAGACACAGTCAATCATACGTATGTGAGTGCGCACTGGCGATCGCAGACACCGTCGATCACACGTATGTGAGTGCGCACTGGCGATCGCAGACACAGTCGATCATACGTATGTGAGTGCGCACTGGCAATTGCAGACACACAGCTGATCATCACGTATGGGGTCCCCTGGTTAATGGCAAGCACAGTTCATCACACAGGTGGGTCCCTCCATCAAGTCGCACCTGTTTTGCCAGGTGGAGTGGAAGCCACATCCGATGGGGCCAGCCCTTCCGGCTGCGGCATGTCACCACAGGGAAGTACTTGAGCCTCTTGGAAGACAGGAACCTTCTGCTGGTGGACAAGGAGAAAGCTGATGTGAAGTCGACAGCGTTCTCCTTCCGCTCGTCCAAGGTAAGAGGAAGGAGGTTCTGGGCTTCCTCGGGGGCCGCCATGTACCCTTTGCTGGTAGGAAGGCAGGAGGAAAGGAGGTGAGGACATTTCTCAGGTGCCTCTAGATTCCTGGTGTCTCCCATCTGCTGCTCTGAGGTAAAACCACTTCCTCGGCCGCTGTACCTGACAGGTGCACCGGCCTGGGTGAGGACGAGGCGCACCAGGGGCCTTTTCTCGGGCACGTTGGTGTGTACTCTCTGACGAGCAGGCCTTTCCACTCAGCTCCGTGGAGTCCCTTTATGGTAACTGCATGTTTCTGCCCTGAACGGAGCTGGGAGCCCTGGCATGACGAGAGCAGTGGCGGCCTGGGGAAGGTGCACATGACGCTTCCGTGAGGGCCGGCGTGTGTGTTGGACGTGTATGTCCACAGCGCGGCCATGGCGGTGCAGGTGGGGTTGGAGTGCATTCGGGCCCAGACGTTTCTAACTGGTTTTTGCTCAGGACTAGGGTGTCCTAGGGGCCCCGTCACCCTTCCTCACGTGCTCTGTCCTGCCTGGATTCGATTTGGATCCTCACAGCAGCGTTCCGTGAGGACGGTGTCTGTGCCATGTGTGACACTCCATGAACAGCATTCTGGGTAGGAGGGCTCTGCTACATACACTGCCTGTCCGGGGCTTCCGTAGCCAGTGTGGACTGGGGTTCATTGATGCAGCCTCTCCCTGGAGTTCCGGTAGGCACAGCGCTCTAAGATTTTGTAACAGATAACTGACAATTACTTCCTACTTGATAAAACGTTTTCCTGAAAGACCAGTTTCCTGTTACGGAAACGAGCTTAAGCAACTCCGTCATGGGGTAGGGGTGACAGCGGAGCCGCAGGTGTCCCCGAGCGTGGCAGGTGTCTCCAGTGAGGGTGCACAGGGCAGTGCATCCTCGAGTGGCCCTGCTGTCCGTGGGTGTGGCTGTGCCCTCTGCCCTCCAGCAGTAGCTCGTCTCTTAGACGCCTTTGCTAATTCTGATAGGTAAGAAATCAACTGTCTCCTACTTACCTTCTGTGGGTAAGTTAATCTCTTTGCTGTAAAACTCGTAAGTTTAAATGCAAAGGTAACGTTTTCATGTTCCGATGAATGAAAATATTCCTTGGTGAGTGGTTCAGAGATCAGCTCTTTTTCTCTTCCCGTAGCGCTTGGCGCCCTTAGAGCAAGTGAGTTGGACCAGCTTCCTTGTCACACCCTACCCCAGGGCGACGGCACCCCGGCTGTCCGGGAGAAGCCCATTGTAGAAAGTCTCTCAGAGGCCTCACTGCACAAGGTGCTGCGTGTTCTCCACATACATGTCAGGCGGGCTCCAAGTCACAGCTCTGGTGACAGCCACTGTGGGCTCCCTAGTCTGGGCTGCCGAACTTGACCACATACGACCTGAGACCGGGCATAGGTGCCTCCCGGGGGGAATGGAGAGGACACCTCACTTCCGTCGAGGTGAAGTGGTGGAGAGAGCAGGCCCTCCCAAGCACTCTTCTGTCTGCATAGGACAGGCGGGCAGGGCCGGGCAGGGCAGGGGGAGGGTTCCTAGCAGCATCCAGACCTCTCAGGGTTCTGGCGTCCTGCCCCGAGTACTTACCATGGGCATCTCTCAGCCGCTGGCTCTGCAAGTCACACCTAATGAATTAAAAAATGGCTTCTGCCACAGCACTGCCCGGCTCCGATCCTCATTCCGACGGGCGACTCGGCTGGCGTCCTGCGCAGAGGAGTGCCGTGTCGCTTCGCTCCTCTCCGCGGCTTTGTGGTGCTTGGCAGGGCACTGGCTCACGTGTCTGGGCGGGTACGGTGCCCTCTGTGCTCTCTTCCTGCTGTATTCTACGTCTTGGTTTTAGAGCCGTGGTTTCCAGAAGTTTGTAGATAACCAATAACTCTGCAAGGGAAGCAGAGCTGCAATTATATTTAAAAATATCCGCTAATTGCAATATTTAGGGGTGTGTGAGTGCATGAGTGTGTAAAGGAGAGAATAAACTAGTGTGTGCTCCTTTCTTGTGTAACATTTTACCCAATTATGATTAGTAAGAAATGTTTTCAAAAATGGGAAATATTTATAGTACAAGAAGAAGAGTTAAAATCAAACTGTAAGGTCTTGGGAAAGGGCTAGAATTAACATATAATGTGATAAGTTGTTATATTTGAGGTATGATATGAAATACAAGTGGGTAATCCCAGGAAGAAAATAAATGGCACAGAAATCCACTTCTAAAAATGCACTCACGTACACAGACATTTTGTGTAATAGCAATTAATAGTGCTGATTATAATGTGTAAAATCTAAGACTTTTAATTGGAAGCAAGTCTAAGAAATTAAACTCCATTCATGCTGAAAAGGATTTCCTGCAATTATATAGTAGAGAAACGTTGAACTTAGAACCAACAGAAAAGGAACAGAAGTAGAAACTTAGCTTAAAGAAGAAATGTGTGCTCCACATAGCTGCTCACGCGTGCTCCGCACGGTCTCTCCCCGGCTCACGGGAAAGCCAAGGGCGTGCCGGACGCTTCCCTCCCCACCACGCCGCTGGTGCCTGCTCGCGGTGCCTCTGCGATTTCTAATGTAACATTCCCACTGTTGTTTTTGATGATGTAATGCAGAGGGAACTTCAAAAAGTTCACGGAGAAGTAGAATTAAAGTGAGACGAGTTTATTCTGGTGTAAAGATTTTGAAATCTCTGTATAGATTTTTATGATACTCATTTTCTTCTTTTTTTTTTTTTTTTTCTTTTTTTTTTTTTTTTTTT